ACTGCTGCCATCACACTGTGTATCATGGAATCACCCTTCTCATCAAAGATACCTGTCTTTTTACTATGTGCTCTCACTCTTTTAGTAGCAACCTTACGCTTTGCAACCTTAGGCTCAATCTTTACTGCCTTGCGCTTCTATTTGCTTGGGCCCGGTTCTACAAAATCATCACTCTCACTTCCATCCCTACTACCCATGTCAGTAGCATCACTTGTGGATGCTTTAATCACCAACTCCATCTTCGACTCTTCATTAGTCAGCTTCATTTGTTCCCATTGTACCTGCAAACATAACGTCAAAACATGACTATATTACATCATTTGAAATACACAATTACACAAAAAAAAATTTAGGAAGTAATTGCACCTGCTCATTTTTAAATACAACATCTTCAAGCACTTGTTGTGCAGGCCTAGCAGGAGCTGACCATTGCACTGTCCTAGGCCACAACTTTGAACCCTCCCTCCTCACGCACACTTTTGCTTTTTGAAGACCTGGAAATGTCTCGTATGCCCAAATTTGCAATGCAAATAGATAGCCCGGAAAAGTAAATCTTGCACCCGCTTCTTGGTAAAGAACACTTGCACACTTCCTTACTTTTTCTTGTAAATCATCCCATACAACGTCCCCCCATGGATATGTATTAAACTGCTCCATATCATCTGCCAGATTGATGTACATAGTGGGGAACTTTGTTGATGTTTGATTCCCCAGAATATAGCTGTTGAGAACATGCAATAATCCAAGCTTTACTGCATCCATTTTCTTGCTTCCGCTTCTTTTGGCCTTCCCTGATTCAAAAGCTGCTTTAATTTGCCCTCTTCCAACACTAGTCATGCCACTAAAGTATGTATTCCACAAATGCCCTGGATTCTGTGTAGATATGCTTGGCTTCTTCGTACCAAATGGAAACCCAGTGATAACTGCAAAATCCCTTTTTGTGAAGCAAGCAATTTTATTGCCAATCAGAAACTCCAGCTTACTTTTGTCATTCGGCACATTCAAACGGTCAACGTGATTAGCCATGAGAAGGATTAAAAGCTGCACATTTACCCAAGGAATATTTCCCAAGTCAAGGAAGTATCTGAAAACTGTTTTTTTAAATTCAGCGAGTTCATCCTTCGTTAGGCAACTTCTTATACTTTCAACTGCCTTTATCATATTGCAATAACTATTTATTCTCATTGACTTTTCAAGAACAAAGTTATCACACTCCGTCGTCCTCACATATTCCTGCAAGATAAAACATTCAACTTATTACCTCTCAGATAAAATTGAATCCTTCATTCACAAACCCCAGTAATCTGCCAAATTATTGCCATACTGCAATAAGCTTTTCATGATACATTCCATTGAAACCACTAAACTAATACATTATGTCAGTAAATTGAACATTATAAGTACCTGGTTTATTGATTCACAAATATTACAAATATTACAATTCTTCCAAAAAAAAACAGTTCAATACTACATTTCTTTTAATGCAATATGAAATACTAATGCCCTCTTTTATTTCTTGAGAGATATTTCAATCATTGCACTAACCATACTGTCACTAAAACTACTAAACACTACTACATTGATGTATTGCAAAACACTTAATCCGCCTAAATACTGCCACTTATTTACAAATTACAATCACATTTTCAAAATAAATCCCAAAAACCACTTAACTAATACATGCACAAATACTTCCATACCTAAACAAACCCAGTTCACTACTACACTAGTGTACAACAAAGGACCATCCTAATGCCTTGTTTTATTGCTTCACACAGATTTCAAAAAACTTATCACCACATTTTTAATTTACAGTTAATGTACTACTTCACTAATTCCCTCCACCGTTTTCTTTCCTAACTTTATTGCCCTAACAAGGACTTTATGAACTAAACCATTGCTTAATGCATATATTGCCAATACATATGTTGCTTAATGAGCTAAACTATATGTCCAATAAACATATTGCCCTGTATCATTGCCAATTTCACAACCCCATTCATTCCCCATATTCCACCTCCGTATTTCTGCTCTATACATATTGGTTCCCAAATTAATGCCCTAACTCATTCACTATTTCACAACCCTATTCCATCACCATTCTGTTCCCAAAATTACTTGCGTATCTCATTGGGTTTTTCACTAACCCGGCTCCATCACCAAAAACGAAAACGCAATAGAACATGCAATGCCTATTGCACAAAACCACGTAATTCCATACTTTAATGCTCTGCGACTGAGAAAACTTACAATTCCGTTGATATTAATGACAACCGACTCACTCGCCGCCGCTTCTATTGAGGCTTGTTGTCGTTTCTCCGGCTTCTTCAATGCTCTTGTTCCCAGCTTGGCAGTCGCCTTCGTCATGTTTGTCTCCTCACACGCCGCTTCTCTTCGCGGCTTCAATTTCTGTTCTTTCGTCAATTCCTATTCTTCCGTACCCAAGCTGATTTAGCGGTTAATACGGATTACCCGTTTTGGAAGCCCAATTTTCGGCGCACGTTTCTCTCGCGGTTACCGTTTCAGTTTTTGGGCTTTTGACGCGTATGGAAGGACAGTTTGGGTATTTACTTCTATTACTTGCAAAACCCATTTGGTCATATATAGGGAAAACTGACATGTTTTAGTATTATTGCCGTATTTAACCCTATACTCATTTGCGTTTAACAAAAACTCATTTTCAATGAGTTCAATATTAATTTGTTGAGATCATTTCTTTGCCTTTTCTTCTTTTTGGCATTATTTTCCTTTTCTTTTCCTTTTCTTTGCCTTTTCTTGGCCTTTTCTTTGCCTTAAAGGTTGCACATGATAAACTCATTTTGGCATTATTTTCCTTTTCTTTGCCTTTTCTTCTTTTTTTCTTCCTTTCTTCTTCCTCCCCTGCTCCACCCGTATGCCTGCAAGTCTCCAACACTCCAATTCTACCACTCTTTCACTTTTCTTTCTTTTTTCTCTTCCATTGACTTTCTTCTAAGGCCAATCAACCAATCGGCAAACCGAAGACTTCATTCCTCCTTTCTTCTTCAAACCCACCCAATTAACTCACAACATATTGACTTTCTTCTCTGGAGTGCAGTGGGGATGAACACAGAGACATGCTCGCCGGTAAAGTTGGGGATTCGATGGAGGATTTCACCAACCTCCGATGTAATACAGGGCCCTAAACCTCCGACGACTTCGCAACAACCATCCCTTCCATTTCCGGCGACATTGTAGCAGCCACCACATTGTCATCACCAGTTTTTTCAGCAGCAGGGAGTACCAGACGAATGGAGAAGCAAAAGACCGAAGAGTGGGGAATCCGTGCTAAACGTTGTCGCCGTGCCCCACGTCAGAAGGAGATCGGTGTGAAGGTATGAAGATGAAGAACTGCAAGCTTCTTTTGATTGGATGGAGTATTAGATATAAGCAACTACTTTTAGTTGGTTTGTTAAACGGCTGATAGTTGAGTTAGTTTAACAAACCAACTAAAAGTTGAAGTTGTTGCTTATATCTAATACTCACAACAAACCAACTACAAGTAGTTGCTTATATCTAATATGGAGGGAAAGAAAGAAAGAAGGAAAGAGGAAATAGAGAAAAAGAAACGGAAGTTGCAGTCTGTGTTTGGGCGGAAGAAGTCTGTCAATGAAAGAGAAGGGGAAACCGGGAAAGAAGAAAGATAGGACCTGGAACTTGAAAAAAAATGTCAAATAAGGCCATATTTAGGATGCTCTGTCCGGTCGACGCCATTTGGGGTGGTTCCCGATGGAATTTTTTGATGAATTTTTTTGAGAATCTTATTCATTAAGTCTAGTTTACTCATATCAAATTTGAACTAAAACTTTAATCAGGAAGGCATTCAAATGAATTCTTGAAGATAACTGTGGCGTTAAAAGCGCAGTTATCTTCATGAATTCATTTGAATGCCTTCCCGATTGAATTGTTAGTTCAAATTTGATATGAGTAAACTAGACTTAATGAATAAGATTCTCAAAAAAATTCATCAAAAAATTCTACCGGGAACCACCCCAAATGGCGTCGGCCGGACAGAGCATCCTAAATATGGCCTTATTTAACATTTTTTTCAAGTTCGAGGCCCTATCTGACCCTTATCCCAAGAAGAAAAGAAAGAAAAAGAGAGAATTTTCGAGTGTCATGTTTTTTATTCCCTAAATAGGAGTAAAATTTTTGCCAAGTTAAGAAATTACAAGACTTTAAACGTGACATTTTTTCTAAACTTGATAGATTACTGCCATTTAAAGAATAAAAAACATGATACTCCCATTTTGGAATTTCAAAAAGTTTTTACTCCTATTTAGGACAATTTATGAAAGAAAAAAACGGCAAAAATGAAAAAAATGCATGTTAACCGTGTGTATAAATTAACCTGTTAACTGGTCGTTTACTGATTAAAGTACTGAAATGAATGTTTTTTATAGTTAGAGAATTTAATTGAGTGATTTAATAGTACGAATGGTTAATTAACTTTCAAAAATTCCTTTTGTACACGTTTTTGTACCCATCAGTACACGCATGTGTCTGTGAGAGTTTTTTTTGTCTGTGAAGTGCGGTCCACAGACAAAATCTGGTTTGTTTTGTCTGTGAAATTTTCCACAGACAAAACAAGCGAACTTATGTCTGTGGACCGCGCTTCACAGACAAAAAAAACTCTCACAGACACATGTGTGTATTGATGGGTACAAAAACGTGTACACCAAGAATGGTTGATTAACTTTTTGAATATAATATGAAGACCCTTTTCATCATTTAGGGAGAAAATATACCGGTAAAAGACATCGAAGTAATGAAACAAAATAATACTACCTCCGTCCCTTATAACTTTGTCAACTTTCCTTTTTTGGTTGTCTCAAAAACTTTGTCACTTTCCACTTTAATCTATCAATTTGTGGTTCATGTTAATTCTCTCTCCTCTACATAAATATCTATCACACAGCTTTTACTTTATTATTTTACGTGCCGGTCAAACATGGCAAACCTTTAAGGGACCGGGGGAGTAGAATATTGGTTTTCACTTTTCTCAACGGAGAAAGATCCACATCACCCTTTTCTAATTTCCGAGCGCTTTTTGGAGGCTCGTGCTGCTTTCAATCGTGCCGGAATGACAAGTTTGCCTTCAAATCAAAACCCTGTTGAAATGGATGCGTCTTCTGTTATTCCCATCTCTGGACCGCCTGCTTCAGTTGCTTCAGGTTATCTGATTTTGTAATTTACTGATCCATATCTTTTGTGTTCTTCTGGATACATGATATTGCTTTATTATGAATCTATGATAATGTGTTGAGAATTTGAGCAGCACCTGTTTGGGCCAAATAAGTGGTGAATATAAGGATTCCATATATGAGTAACTTTCCAAATGCTCTCATGGTTTTTTCGTTTGGATTGGATAATCATTTTGTTCTATTTGATGCTTATTTAAAAAAAAAATAGTCTTGTTCATAATTTCCTGAAGAAATACTCAAACATTAAGGAGTAATATTTGTTTGTTGTTACAGAAAATGGTGCTGTCTAGAACCCACAACCAATTCCAACTGGAAACGTTCCCTCTGCTACTGTTAAAATTGTGAAAGTCTTAACAGTCAATTTGTTTGCGTACTTTGAAAAGATGGTTTGCACCCTATAATCTCATACTCCCTATGATAAAAATGATATACCCTAACATATATTTTCAGGAGCCTGAAACTGCAACCTCCATGCCAGAGCCCACATCTCCACATGTTTCATCAATTCCTCGTGCTGCCCTTAAATATGTCAAAGTCTGAGAGGTAGATTGCTTTATTTATTCAGTGATAAGTTTTTACATTTCATCGCATCTTTGTAGTTATATATAGGGTTAATGCCTCATTTGGTCCCTCGACCATATACTATTACTCGATGTGGACTCTGTTTGGGTCTTCAAGGGCCTCAAGCAATTTAGACCCAACTTGATCCTCGTTCATATTTCTCTCTAGTTAAGAAGGGTATTTTTTATATGCCGATAAGTCGATAACTAAATTGGATCCAAATAACATAGTTGAGGGCCAAATTGGGTCAAGATTTAGTGTATGGACAAAAATATCCTTGTTATTAGAACCCTTATGCAGTATGTATGAGGATGCACTTAAGGACAACTTTTATAGTCAAAGACCAAGTTGAGGATCAATTGGGTAATAGTATTGTTGGCGGACTAAATCAGGCATTAACTCCTATGTGAAGAAAACTCACAGGTTCTTGTTATAATTTTAGTTGCTTAAATTACACGATATGAGTCACTGTGTGTATTATATTCCAATATAATATATGGAGTACTTTATATAACACACTGCTGTCAGCAACAATATTAGCCAGCAGCAGGATGGTTCTAATTTCTAACATCATCATTACCATCGCTATCTTAGTCCTAAATATTTCCGGTCGGTTGAATGAAATTAAATTTGTTAATTAATTTATTGCCTAAGTTCAGTTAACACTACAAAATTCATTAGAAAAAAGCAACAAGTTTTTTTGCCCCTGTGGCACTTTCTGTGTCAACCTTCTTGACAGGCAATAAACAGAACCGCTCGAATGTACTTGATAAATTTGATTGGTTACAGTATCGGGTATATACTTTCTTGCAGGGAAACTTATCTGATCAACGACAAGGACAACCTGATTTCATCACCAGACTAGAGGTATCTTTGAGGTTAACCTGTATATTTCAGTGCTCTTTAATCATCTTTAAAATGTCTTGTTTGATGGTGTTTACATTTGATTGTTTTGCATGTATATGTGACTTATTTACTTTGACAGGGGTATAGGAGTGCGTCAGCATCTGAAACGTAAGTGTACACATTTATGAATTCTCTTGAATGTCACCCTTTACCAATCAAGTGTCACTGAGAACCTTCTAACTATTTGGATTAGTTGTTACTGGAATAAGCCAGCTTTGCAATCACAGCTTGGTGTTTTCTTTCACTATGAACTTTGTTCCCCACTATTTGAATTGAGTTTTATTTTGCCATCTCTTTCTTAGGGTTGCTGCAAATTGGCCTGAAACCATGCAAGTAGTACGACTTGTTTCCCAGGACCATATGAGCAACAAGTAACCTCTTTCATATTTCAACTATTGCATTTTCTTAAACCATTTATGAATATGTTGTATCACATTATACCTTGATTAGTCTCACCATTAATTTTTATTTTTTATGATAGGCAATATGTTGGTAAAGCAGATTTTTTAGTTTTTCGAGCCATGAACGAGCATGGTTTTCTTTATCAATTACAAAAACAGAAGCTTGTAAGTATTTTACTGAGGCTTGCTTGTATAAGATCAATCAAGAAATGAAAAGCTTATTTTAAATATCATAAAATATATGAAATCAGTATATAGTACTCTGTACGTCCCATTAGACTTTACCAACTTTGTTTTTTTGGTTCTCCCAAAAACCTTGTCAATTCCCCATTAAAGTAACTGATTTCTGGTTTTGTTCATTTTTTCTTAATTTTACACTAAATTCATTTTTTAATTTGACACTAAAAGTTTTATATCTCTAATATCAACTAGTTGGCATTAAGGTGCTAATAACGATGTGTTATTTTATTGAATGGCCCTTGTGCAAGTGTTTTCCCATCATTTCCAATGGAAACAAAGACTCACTAGTTTTTGGCTTGGGAATATGATGGAGTAAAGCAAAATGATTAACTAAGCTGATTGCGCTTGCACAATACAAGCAATTTTCAATGCGATTTTCATCACGGGTCATTCGGAAACAGCCTCTCTATGCTATTAGTATAAGGGTAAGGCTGCGTACGTCCGACCCCACCTACCCCACCGTAGGTGGGAGCCCTAGTGGTACTGGAGTAATGTTGTTGTTGTTGTTGTGGCTCTTGTGCAAGTGTTATTAATCAATTGATATGGTCTGAAAAGATACGCGATTTGTTTCTAGTGTGCAGTCATTCAATTTCCCTCACAGACACTATTGCTCTCTGTTTCTGACAAAGCTTGCCGCTTGATCGGGATGCTTTTTCCAGGGGAAAGATTTCTCTTTGAAACTTAACGGTATGGCCTGGGTGATGGAAAATGTTAGGTAAAAGATAGAAAATGCCAATGAAAGTTAATTTTTTACTGTTTGGCTTTGCTATGGACCATACTCTACAAAGGAAAATAAATATTCCTTCCATTCCTAAAAGGTTTTTCATTTTAGTATTTATTTGGTCACCATAATTCATTTTTATCTCATTATGTATCGGATTTTTATAATGTTTATATTACGTTCTAATTGTATATTATGGTTGAATATATTCCATAATGGAACATCGATTAAGCCTAGGGGCTTAGCTGGGGCCTAGGCCCTGCCCCACCCCAAATTTAAAAAGTCTGTATTTAGTGTAAAAAATTTCGTGTATTTTTTTCCTCAAAAATATTCCTTGTACCGGTCCAATGTTCTGTCTCCGCCCCTGATTTAGCCTATATCATCTTTTCCATTCTTTTTTTGGGTCATGTCTGTATTACTTTGCTAGCTCTGTATTTCTTACATCAAGTATAAATCATTGCCTTCATATCCATCCATAACTCCCAACTATTGCCTCTTAAACTTCTGAAAAATATGAATTTTGATTAATATGCTAGTTACATTACATAAAGCTAAAGGGTAACTAAAGGGTTTCCGAGTCCAATCCCCCTCCAAGTTCGTTTTTTAAAACATTTTATGTAAAGTCGAAATCTGGTTTACAGCTATTTATGGAAGTCATAACTATATTGAGAGAAGGAATCTTTGGCAGTTCTTGGAAAGTTGGGCTGACATTAATAAAGATCCATGGTTTGTGGGGGGAGATTTTAATGTTATTGCTAATCAGGGGGAACATAAGGGTCATTCTACACCTATGCTGGGAAGCCTGGCTGAATTCAAGGATTGTTTGGCCAATTGTGATCTGGTGGACTTACCATTTCATGGTTCTTCTTTTACATGGACTGGAGTGAGGGCTAATGGCAGGATTTGGAGAAGGTTGGATAGAATTTTGTTTAATTCTTCCTTTTTGGGAATCTATGATAATATTCAGATTCAGCATCTTAATAAATCTTCCTCCGATCATTCTCCAATCCTGCTACAGTGCAAAAATCAATTAGTGACTGGACCAAAACCTTTTTGAAGGTTGTTAGTGATGCATGGAAGACTTTCCCTAGCTTTGGAGGTATGAGGGGACTTTACAACAAACTACAGTCTCTCAAGCATATTCTTAAATCCTGGAATAAAAACACCTTTGGTGATTTATTTCACGATATTAAGAAATTAGAGGAGGATGTTGCTAAAGCAGAGAGCAGAGATTTTATTTGAGTCTAATCCTTCTGAGGAGAACAAAGATAATTGGTCCTTTAAACAGGCTCTTTTACTTAATAAACATAAGTAGGAGTCTGAATTTTGGAAACAAAGAGCTAGACTCAAATGGTTAAAAGAAGGGGATTCCAATACCAGCTTTTAGCATGCATATGTGAATGTCAAAAGAAGGATGCAGGCTTTAACCGTGATTAAAGATTATTCTGGGAATCTATGTACTGAACCAGATGACATTGCCAATGCAGCTGACCACTTCTTTCAGGGCATTTTTGCTGAAGAGGAGGTACATGATGTGGATTCCATGTTGCATTACATTCCCAAATTAGTAGACAATAATGATAACAAAATGTTGATGGAGTTGCCTGATTCAGAAGAAATTAAGGCAGCAGTCTGGGGCCTAGATAAAGATAGTGCAGCTGGTCCTGATGGATACGATGGTGTTTTTTTCAGACATTGTTGGCCTATTGTAGGGGGTGATGTGGTGTTGGCGGTGTAGGATTTCTTCTAAGGTAATCAGATTCCAAAAGCAATGGGCAGTTCTCTTATAGTTCTCATTCCAAAAAACGATAAAGTGTCAACCTTTTTTTATTTCAGGCCTATTAGTCTCTCCAATTTTATTAGCAAGGTTTGTACTAAAATCTTGGCTACCGGGCTTATGAATATTCTTCCTAAGTTAGGGTTTGTTTGCAATCAATTAAAAAAAGTGATTTTGGCTTTTTTTTAAGAAAAAAACACTTATTTTTCCAAACACTATCAACTTTTACTTCCTCGGTTTTCGTGTAGAATCTACTTTTTACTTTTTCTATTATACAAAAAGCACTTATTTTACCAAACACTACCAACTTTTACTACTAATCACTTTTTCCCAAAAAGTGCTTTTATTTAAGCACAAGTGGTTGCAAACAGAGCCTTAATATCTGTTGAACAGGTAGGATTATGAAAGGGAGAGATATTTCAGACCATATTTTAGTTGCTCAAGAAATGATTAATTCTCTTGATAGGAAAGTCAGGGGAACTAATCTTATTGTGAAGTTGGACATGGCAAAAGCTTTTGACAAGATTTCTTGGTTTTTCTTACAAGCTGTCCTTTCAAAATTTGGTTGTTCACATATTTTTGTTACTTTGGTGATGAATCATCTTAAATCTACTCACTTTTCGGTACTTATTAATGGATCACCAAAAGGATACTTTCAACCTCAGCGAGGGGTGAAACAAGGGGATCCCCTTTCCCCTTATCTATTCATTCTTGCTACTGAAGTTTTATCTAGAGGATTGAAGTGTTTGGTATCTTCTAATCAAATTAAACCCCTTTGGATTGGCCCAGAAGGGCACCCGGTTACTCATTTGTGTTATGCTGATGACATTTTAATCTTTCTGAATGGGGAAGCTAGATTTATTCAAAATTTTAATAAGTTCCTGGGTCAATATCAAAGGGTTTCTGGTCAGGCTATCAACTTTGAAAAAAGTAATTTTGGTTGTGGAAAAACTTCTCTTGCAAGAATCAGGAAAATGGAGAGGCTCCTGGGTATGACTAAGATAAACCTGCCCATGAAATATCTTGGCTCAAACCTGCACAAAGGCATCAATAGAAAGAATTACTGTCATGGAATACTTCAATCCTTTGATAAAAAATTGACAACTTGGAAGCAGAAACATCTTAATTTTGGGGGAAGAATGGTGCTAATTAAGCATGTTCTTAATACTATTCCTCTCCATTTATTAGCAGTTGATACTCTCCCCAAGGCTATTTGCAGAAGCTTGGAAAAAAGAATGGCTCATTTCCTATGGGGTTCTAATGCTACTAAGAGGAAATACCATTGGCTAAGGTGGAAGGATTTATGTCTACCCTATGAGGAGGGGGGTCTAGGTTTCAGATCATTAGTGGATATTGAGAAGGCTTTTTCATTAAAACTATGGTGGAAATGGAGAAATAATAATTCTGGGTGGGCTCAGTTTTGTCAGGCTAGATATCCTAGGGGGTTAAATATGACTCCTAAAGCCATAGACTCAGTCATTTGGAAGAGAATTTGTAAGATACATGATGTGGGGCAAGCATTATGCATACAAGATGAGGCAGGGGAGTATATTTGGTCATCTGAAACCAATGGCAGATTTAGCTTGTCCCGGCTTTACATGAAATCAGAAGAACTAGGAATATTGCTTTTTCCTTCAAGCATACCTGGAATACTCATCAGCAAAGCCATATTCAGGTTTTTTTATGGAAGCTATTACACAAAATTCTACCTTTTCCTGATAATCTGCAAAGGTTTAATACGATAATCTTCCCAACTATGTGTCCTTTTTGCAAGAAGGAATCTGAATTTATGGAACATGTTTTACTCACATGTTCTTTTAGTTGGTTCATTTGAAAATATTTCATTGGCATTTTTGAGATCCCTCTGCCTTCAAATACCATTTCATTGAGACAGATGCTTTTAGCTTGGTGGATGGAGGCGGGTTCTAAATCTCTTGTTGATGTTGTTAAACACAATATGGCTGGGATTATATGTTGGCATATTTGGAAAGCCTACTGCCAGATCAAATGGGGGGATGGTAATGACCCCAACAAGTTACTGATTATCAAACAAATCAAGGCTTACTCGCAGATTTGGGCTGAGGCAAAATTGTCTAAGCTCAGATTAGGATAGCCTAGTCAAATGCTAGTTGAAGAAGAACTTTTGCCCAATTCGTTTAAATATATGAAGCCGAGGATACAAGTTATGAAATGGAGTTTACCTTCACTTGCTTTCAAATTAAGTGTGGATGCATCCTTCAACTCTTCTTGGGCGGCTGGTGGAGCTGTGTTTCGATTCAGATTGGGCGAATTTGTGGTCGGTTTGCATTTTACTCTCTCTGCTAACTCAGCTATGGAGGCGGAGCTTTTAGCGGTATACACTGCAGTTTCTTGGCTGGTGAATAAGGGTTATCATGCTTTCGAGGTGGAAATGGATTCTCAGACGGTCTTCGGTGCTATTCGGGACAGTAATTCTGGAGGATGATGGAGTAGGAAGCTCGATGACCTGAGAAGCTGGATGGTTGAGCATCGGATAATTTTCAGACATATCATGAGGGAGATTAATTGGCCAGCTCATTTTTTATCTAAACTTAATATTGCTGATCTGGTAATTTATCACAATATCAGACAACTCCCGTGTCACATTAGATGTGTTCTAATTGCGGATAAGTTGGGATTGAGTTATTTTAGAATTAATTAATTTTTAATTATTGATTTGTATTTTGGGTCAGGTCTAGCCCCCCCCCCCCCCCCCCCCCCAAAAAAAAATATTTGGTTTGTTCGATTTTCTTTTTCTTGTATTTTTCAGAGGAATGCCTCTGAAGGGAGGTTTTGGTTTGGTCCCCCTCTCCTGTGTACTCCCATCTATATTAATAAAATTATGGCGGCATTTGCCCCATTGATTTTGGTGGTTTACCTTCCGGATTAAAAAAAAATGTGTAAAGTAAAAAGGATATGTGGAAAATTTTGGAACTTTGACAATTATGGTTGATTAAATAACCTTTTATTGTCTGATACCATCCCAGATTGCACAATTTTTATTCTTTTGAATCATGCCTCTGGTTTATGTTTCTTGATTTGTGTTGTATGCTAAAGTGAGATGAAGATAAATGCTCTTTGAAATGTTGAAACAATAACACTTACCTAGTAAATGATCTTTATTGATTTTTTTTTTGTTGCATTTACTGTGTGTTAGCATGGTTCAATATTTGAACATCAGAACTCAGAACCAATACTGTGGAATTGTAACGTCTTATCTTGATTTCTATTGCGTGATCCTTATTTTTAGCTGACTCCGAACTCTTTTGGGACTAAGGTATCAATAATGTTTTATCCTTTTTCTTGGTGTTCTAATCTGTATATTGAAATTATTTATTGTGTTGTCTTTTTCTTGTGAAGTGATCTGGTGTAAGCCAAATAATTTCAATGGCAAATGGGCTGAATAGCATAATACCATCCCTTCCTTTTTAGGTGCAATGTTATTTGTGAAGTCTGTTTGCATCCATAATCCATGAAGTCTGATTACACTAAGTAAGAAGAGTTTCAAATTTCAAATATAAAATGGCAGTCCAAAATGCTACACTTTTCTCCTCTAATGTATGAACAAATATCCAAAATAAACTTATCAAGTTTTACTTTGAAATTATTCAAAATTTCCTTCCATTTCCTTTCCATTGTCCTCTCTCTATTTCCCCTCATACTTTCATTGCCTAGTGTTTTTGGTATTCCAAACGGACACACTTGAGATACCAAACCTGCAATATCCTTAGCTTCAATAGTTGCAGCGGTAGCAAACACTCACATATGCAAAAATCACAACACCCGTAGCAAATGCAGGAAGCTCCTCAGCAAGCTCCTCAGCATATGCAGGGGGTGCAGAAGATGTCTCAAGGGCAAGTATCGTCACAAGTCACAACTCACAACGGCTTCCTAACCTGCCCACAAATGAGTTTATGATAGGGTAGGTAAATTCATAATTTTACAATCAGCATTTAGGATGTTTTCTTTTGGACTGAAATTTGCTGGTCTGGTCTGGTCTGGTCTGTTTAAGTCTGGTCTGGTCTGGTCTGGTCTGGTCTGTTTAAGTCTGGTCTGGTCTGGTCTGGTCTGGTCTGGTAAACGTCTGGTCTCTGTGTATTTTATAACTACGGAAGTCTGGTCTGGTCTGGTCTGGTCTGTTTAAGTCTGGTCTGGTCTGGTCTGGTCTGTTTAAGTCTGGTCTGGTCTGGTCTGGTCTGTTTAAGTCTGGTCTGGTCTGGTCTGGTCTGTTTAAGTCTGGTCTGGTCTGGTCTGGGACTGAAAACAGTCCAAAAGAAAACATCCTTAAGTGACCACATGCTTGATCTTCTTTCTCCTCCAAAAGAAATAAACCAAAAAAGTGCACTCTCCTATCTCTTCATCCTTTTTTTAAGAAATAAAATTTCAGTTTTGTCTTTTCCTCCTCTACATAGTGTATTTAGTTTTCTTTTGGGAAACCAAATCAATATCCCATCCATACAATATTCTTGTTTAACTTTCCTACCTATCTCTATTTACTGGCAATTCGGATAACGGTCGGAGATTTCAATCAAGGTAGTCAAGGATTTGAAACGAAGTGGGATTATCGTGGGAGCGAATTAGAGAGTCCTATCTGAATACCTACCATGATACAAAGGTTATCTTTCTTCAAGGCCAGTTCATTTTAACAGACGATCTTGCGATAAGTTTTGACGGGAAATCCACTTCTATGTCCCTATAGCTTGTTAATTGCTCTATTCAATATCCTAGGGGCATTGTAGATGATGTGTTAATTCAAGTAGATAAGTTGAGCATTCCTACTAATTCTACGGTTTTGGATGTGGATGATTAGTATCAAATTGTCAATACACGAAAGATATGCCAATTTTGCTCGTTGGACCATTTATGGTCATAGCAAAAATCATGATTGATATTCAAAATAGAAATTTGATCATGATTGTGCTTGATGAAATCCATGAGTGTGTCCGCCTATTCTAGTTCTTGTTTTGCACTTGATATTCTTGATCCTATGATTCCTTTGGACATGCTTCAGGAAGATGAATTGAAAATGATGCTTATGAGAGTGTGGAAGTTTACAAGAAGCAAACTAATCTTTTTCGTCATAAATCCATTTTGAGGAAGAATTTTAAACTTGGAATTTTGTGGAGATTCCTCTTCGTCATTCTACATGACGCCCAATGCGACTAGTTCAATATGGCTTCTCATCCTCTTCTCATGCTCTTGATGCCACTATATCATCTATTGCCATTCCTTCATGTTATTCACAGGCTGCCAAACATAAGTGTTGCTTAAAGCAGGGCAGGAAGAATTAAGAGCTTTGGTACCTAAACCAGACATGTGATGTTGTTTCATGTCCTCCTAATATCATTCCTCTAGGGTGTAAATGGGTGTATTCAATCAAAGCTCGGCCCAATGGCAACATTGATCGTTATAAAGCACGTTTGGCGGCACTCGACAATCATCAGGAATGTGGATTATTATGAGGAAACCTTTGCTCCGGTATCAAAATTGACTACAATCCAGATAGTTCTTGCTATTGCTGCTTCCCGGGGATGATCTCTAAGTCAAATGAATGTGAAAATGCATTCCTTCATGGTGATTCCAAGGAGGATATCTTTCCATTTTTTTATTTGTGCGTGTCATCCTTGCGCAGGGGCCATGCTAATCATCTTTGTATCGTTCCAAGGAGGATATCTTTATGCATGCACATCCTTTTCTAGTCCCACCACAAAGGCTTGTGAGTTACACCAATCTTTATACTTTTATGCATGCATCTCCTTTTCTCTAGTCCCACCACATAGGCTTGTGAGTTGCACCATTTTTATACAACTTGAAACATGCTCCACGTGCTTAGTATGAAATGTTTTGTGCCACACTTCAACAATTCTTATTTCAGCCAAGCGCAAGCATGACACATCTATGTTTCTGTGACATACCTCAAACAAGATTGTAGTCATTGTCTACGTAGATGATATTGTTATCAATGGAATTGATTGATCCTTATTTAATTTCCAAGCTCAAACAACACCTACATAGTTCCTTTCATATGAAAGATCTTGGGGGGCATTCATTTCTCTAGGACTCGGGGTTAATGTGGGTTCGACTGGTATTTTCTTAAATCAAGCCAAGTATACTCGTGATCTTATTGATTCTATAGGTTTATTTGTACATCTCTAGTTGATACTCCAATGCAATTAAACATTAAACTCCAAAAAGATGATGGAGATCTTCTTCCAGACCCGACAATGTATCGTAGGCTTGTGGGGCAGTTTGGTGTATCTTAGGATTACTTGTCCAGATCTCTCATTTGTTGTTTATAGAAGTCAGTCAATTTCTTCATAATCATCGTCATCTCCATATGGATGTGGCTTCGGTTTGGTCCCCCTCTCTTTTGTAAATCCCCCTATTTTAATACAATAATGGGAGTCATTTGCCAAAAAAAAAAAGGAATTAAAACATTTGGAAATTCTCAAATAGGAGTATCATGTTTTTATTCCCTAAATAAGAGCAATTACTACTAAACTTGGACAATGTTGTCATATTTAAAACCTGGTATTACCAAAACATGTCACTAATTACTCATATTTAGGGAATAAAAACATAATAGACCTATTTACGAATACGCTAACATTTTTATTCCTATTTAGGGCAATTCCCCTGGTCGTTATATTCATGGTGCTGTCACCAATGGACTTTATTTTTCAACTGCTGCTTTGACGGCACTAAAGTCGCGTGTTCCTCAAAATAAATTCTCTTTTATGAAACTAGTAAATAAAAGGGAAATTTTGGATTTGGTGATTTAATTTAATTAAACACCAAGATGAACAACTTATATGTGATTTAATTCAAAGATAAAAAAGAACTTGGTTTTGTTATTTTCCACTTGTTGATATATTTAGTCGTTCGTTATATCTTTAACTTATCCCCTCTCGAATATTCAATCGAGGAGTATCTCCAATTCATCGAGGGTAATTATTAACAATGACCGTTCATTAACAACTCTTATTATTAATCAAATATAGAACAACGTCGTATACCGGTTTAATAGTAGCTTAGATACAGTAAAATTAGTCCTACTTAAGGCTAATAGGTCCTACTTAAGGCTAATAATCGTTATTAATACAGTAAAATGAGTCCTACTTTGGGTCCTTCATCCATTTTTTATTCGGGTGATTATTTTAGTGACATCATGTGCTTATTAGCTTAGATATCTGATTTTGCTGATGATGGGTATCCTCTCCCAAGATCACCTATTTTTTGGACATATTTTTTTTAGAATGTTAATATATATTTACATTTATCCAAAAATGAGAGGTGCAACTACCTCATTGTGCAGGATAGTAGCTAAGGTAGGCATATTAGGCCCTAACCCACACAAAATTTGAAAAATGTTTTGGGGGTTTTGTGTAAACGAATTGTCTGTATAGACAGACAATTAGGGGGTTTTGTGTATAACTTGTATTTGTACACTAAGCATTTTCCCATGATATACTCTCATGACTCTTTTACTACTCACTCATGGATAGAATTTTGTGAGTTAGACATGATACGTGGATGTATATGTAAATATTCGTGATGCTTAAATAAATACGTAAAAAATAAGTAGTACTCCCTCCGTCCCAGAAAATTCTTCCTAGTTTGACTTGGATCGGAGTTTAAGAAAGTGGGAATAAAGTGGAAATGTGTGGTTGTAGTTGTGTAAGAAAAAGGTGAAATGAATGTGAGCCA